TGGGCAGGTAATCTTGTAAAGGAGAAAGGTGGTCATGAATAGCCATAGTATTATTGTTAATTACAAAGCGCGTAGTTTTTAATTTCCTGAGCTATATTTTGAATTTTAGTTTTTAGTGGCTTCTATAGAATAATGGAATGTTTTAGCATACGTTACGTGGTGAATTCATCTTATTTGTAATTTTTAAGCATTCATGTGCTTCTTCTTCTTTGTCAGAGTGGATCTGTGTCAGCGAAACTTCAAGTAACTGACATTTTTATCTATCTATCTATCTATCTATCTATCTATCTATCTATCTATCTATCTATCTATCTCAGTCTATTCAAATCTATCTATCTATCAATCTATCTATCTATCTATCTATCTATCTATCTATCTATTCAAATCTATCTATCTATCTATCTATTTCTATCTATCTATCTATCTATCTATCTATCTATCTCAGTCTATTCAAAGACGGTTATCATCTATCTATCATCAATCATCTTCTCTATGTTTTCAAAAAGATCGACTGAACAGCAATTGTTTCAAAGATCGACTGCCTTGTTTAGATTCCTCACCGCGTGCGATCTTCCCTAAAAAGTAACCATACAACCATCTGTCTATCACTTTGAAAGCAGATTGCTTTGTATTACTTGATACATTCAACTTATCCAGTTTTTCAAACAGTCTTTAGTAGCCTCTTTCCAGCTGTGTTTTGCCCACCCTTACGTTATTTTCTATAATTGAAAAATCGATTATTTGATAGCTTTATTGATTAGATTCTGGATTTTTTTTTCTGAAAAGATTAGAGAAAGGCTTTGAAGGATGAGCGATGGCTTGCAGGACCAGCTGTGTTTTGCAATATTTATCGGGGAAGAGTGTTGAATATAGGAGATTTGGCGTTTATACATATAGACAGTATGGACGAAGGAATCAACATTGCACTATTTCACACCTAAATGGGATCTTTAGAGCAAATAGCACGAGTAGGCTTACCCCGGCGATAAAGACGTTTCCCTCAATACGAAAGAACCCTTCTTAGTACCGAAGTTGGTTTTCAAAATACAAATGGGTTTGACGTTCTTACAAAGGTGTTGAAACGTATAGTAACTGTGAAGTGCTCATTCCAATGTCCACTCTCTTGCTCTATCTCTCTCTCTCTCTCTCTCTCTATATATATATATATATATATATATATATATATATATATAAATATTCAAAATATTTAAATATTTATATTTATTTACATATATATTTATTTATATTTATATTTATTCCATAATTAAACCTAAACTTTAAGTAAGTAAGGTTACCCATATAAAAATAATGACAAATTGCATTCATAAATTAGATTAAAAGTAAAACTAATAAAGATGTTACCGTAACTATTTTTACAATATTAAAAAAGTACTATTGGTCGGGTAAACAAGCTATTATAATTTAAAATATATTTTTAATATGTTCTCTATAAATGTGTTCATAAATATAGTATTTAACTTATATTAAATCCTTAAACAATTTGTTTAAAAAATTAAATATTTAAATTGATAGCAAACATCAAATAATTTTTTTTTAACATCTAATTTTCTATCCAGCATTAAAATCTATTCTTTACATAAATTGCTAAAACCCAATTACAGCCTCTTTCTCTTTACTTCCCTCTTCCTCACCCTCTTCTTTCTTTTTCCTTTTTCTTTTCTTCCTACTCCCCTCCCATTTCAATATATCACTTCCGTTAAGTTAACCGTCTAAATAGGTCAAGGTCTGGTCACTCCTCCTCCCCCAATACAAAGTATACTTGAGAGAGATATGAAATTAATCCCTTCCTATACTCTACCATGTCTCTTTAACTATCCCTTTTACACTCTCTGTTAAATTGCAAAAACTTACACTACCCATCAATTTTAATTTCATTCTTCGTTTCATTTCATTTTTGGAAGTGCTATCTGATGATCCGGCGTCCTTTAAAAGGGCTCTGGTGAATTAAATTATTATAATGGTACCTTAAAGTGGTCTGTTTTTCTTTTAAATATTAGCTCTGGATTTACATTGAGCTCTCAGGATTTCATCCTCCTTGGGATTACCCATACGGATTACCAAGTTCTTCATAACTTATATATATATATATATATATATATATATATATATATATATAATGTAGGTATCGCCAAAGATGTTCTAAAAAATACTCCAAACAATAAAAACAGTTTTAGTATCAATATGTCATTATTAATAGTAAAAATCAAAAGGATTACTTTTATTATTAAATTATATTTTATACTGCTTTTTAGAACCTTCAAAATTTTGGGAATTTTTTTCTTGCATCACCGGGTGCCCATAAATTAGTATAGGAAATTTTTGCCTCTTTTGGCGGTGAAACACACATTGATTTGGAAATTCCTGCAAAAATCAGATAATTGCCTGAGTTTAATGAAACTTTCAGGACTTATTCACAAATGAATTAAATTATTTTAGAAACGTTTCTTTTTCAGAAAATCTTAGTATTTTTTTTACATTTCTACCACACACTATTTAATTTTATGAAGTTTCGAGAAATTCATTTTTGTACGGCTTAATGTTTATATTAGTTATATGTAGAAGTCCTTGGAGAATTTAAATTATCAATTAAAAAAAAAAAACAGTACTCCCAGTTACACAAAATCTACTCTGTATCGTTAAATAAAAAGTGCAATAAAACTAATACATAGTTTAATTAGAAAAGTTGTTAATAGTTTTAATTGTCAAAAATACATACCTGGAATTCAATAAAACATTATATTACAGAGAATAACTTTTAAGATCATTGACTAATTTAAAAATTATATAAAAAGGTGCTCACATTATATTCGTCAAGTAAATTTTAAAGACATGTTTCCTGAAGAAAAAATTCCACACATAAATCTATCGAGATAGTTGTCAACACCTCATAAGAACACCCACCTTCATGATAAAAAATACTTTCCTGGGAGAGTGCAAAGTAATATTTGTTTGAAATCAGATTAATTATATTTTAAATCAGCTAATCTTCTTCAAATAAATTTTCAGTAAAGTACAAGTAGACCAGTTTACCATCCAAGGCTATAGAACCCAGCCTGTTCTGCTATTTACCCATAGCTGGAAGGAAGAAGAGGATTCATACCTGTCCCAAGGCTATTAGTACGTAAGTGAACGTAATGGAGTCGACTCGAATTCGAACTCGTCTCTCCGATTCCTCAATCCGATCCATTACTCCACCGCGTGTAGTTAAATTCATGAACAAAATTCAAACGGATAGAGATGTCAACTTAATAATCAATAATAAAATTTTTTAAAGAGATTTAAAAAAAATGATTACTAGAAGTAAACTTATATTTTAAAATAAAATTTTATTCTTTTAATGTACGTTCTCTGAATATTTTTCTAATCGACTATTTCACAGAAAATCTCCAAAATTAAAAAAAAAAATTAAATCACTAACAAACATCAAATTAAATTATTTGTAGACAGTTTAGAGACATTCAAATTTATATCAAACATTATAATCTTTATGAACCCCCAAAATAACAAAGTTAAACAAAATAACAGCGTCTGTTTCTAGCCTTTTTTTTACAAAGAAAATTAGTGACATCTTCTCTCATAACTTCCTTCTCTCTTTTTCTCTCCATGGGTTTTTTCTTCTCTACCCCTTCGATATCAATTTATAACTTCCGTTAAGTTAACCGTTTAAATATGTCAATATCTGCTAACTCACTCATGTCTTCTCTCTCTCCCACCTCACTTCCTCACTTCGTTAATTTACATATGTTTAATACGGCCCGTCAAAAATGTGTAAATTTTCTTTTCATTTTTTGTTTGGAAGTAAAGTCTGATGATCCGCAGTCCTTTAAAAGGGCTGTGGTGAAATAATTTATTACATGGAACCTTAAAGTGGTCTGTTTTTATTTAATATATATATATATATATATATATATATATATATATGTTTGTGTGTGTGTGTGAATCGACACAGAAAATTCTGTGGGTAAAATTAAAATAGAGTAATAAGAGTAATAAAGACTTGTATTTTAACGCCTTCTGACAACTTCACTAGCGCCGGCCTTTATGTTGATTTTCTGAGTGTTGCTTAGTTGTGGCACAAGGCCGAAAGTATGACGCACCCAGTGCGGATCGAACTTACTATTCTGTCGTAACAGATCTAGCGAGACAAGCTTGTTAACCATTACAGAACATTGAAGTATCCAGGTGTTTTCCCACTTGTCACCTGTATGATGTGGTAGTGTCTATAACAGTGGAAAATCTTGGTATATCTTTCTTCGCAAAGTCAAGCTACGGTTTTATCATTACTTTAGTTGAATCCATGATTTCAGTCAGTCTTATCGCCACACCACTATTGTTTCGTTTTAATGAAATCATGTTATACTTTAGCGAATTGAAAATATCCGAGGATATGTGAAAAATTCCATTCCCCAGGCAGTCTTTTTCGAAATTAATATTTGTTTTAATAAATTTCGATACTCAGTCTGTGTGTTGAAATACTTAGAAGAGGGTTGGTATATTATGAACATTGCTGTCACGTTATCTCCGGTGTAAACCTTCAAGTGCTTCTTGCTGTAAAAATGTCACATTGAGACGTGAAACTGACAGTCACAAAGCAATATAGATTCCTACGACCACACTGGAAGCCACTAATTACTACTAGTAGGAACACTTAATGAGTAAATAATAATAATGAAAAATATTTTGAATTTACGGAGCTATTTTATACACATCCACAGATATTTAACCCCTTGAAGATAGTCTCAGATGAGATTGAAAGTACTCGGGAGAGTAATGATTTTATTAAAGAAAAAATTTTGCAGGTTATATGTTTAGATTGTTTATCTTTTTTAGAGATAATAATGGTTTAGTGATACAAGTCTTACTAATTAGAAGAGAAGAGTTGAACTTATACCTTTCCCAAGGGTATTTGTGCGAAGTGAAACTCAGCTCTCCGATTAAAAATTCTTAACCAGATCCATTACATCACCCACACAATCAAGCTAACAGCACCTGGTATTCCCATGCATCTAGGTACTGGCCAGGTACGACGTTGCTTAACTTCGGTGATCTTACGGGAACCGGTGTTTCAACGTGATGCGGCCGTAAGGCAAATTACCCCTCCCCCAATATTACCGTGCCAAATATTATTGTTTAGATCAGATACAGAATAAAAAAAGAAATATCTGGAGCTTTCAATATTGGTCGTAGACATTAGGATGTAATCATGACTCTATATTTAACAGTAAAATAACTTTAAAAACAATGACCGACTCATGAACAAACATTCTACAGTAACGAATAAAACGAGTGCTTCTAACTGCAGACGTCAGTATGGACTTAAGACTCTATCCTTTGGAATGAAAGTACACTAGTAATAACCACCGACTCAAGAAGGAGCATCGTACATCCTTTTCACTGCAGACATCAGGATGTATCCATGGCTCTATATTTTGGAGTAAAATGATTTTAACAGGTACCAGCTCAAAAACGAACATCTGTAAACATTGAAAAACATATTTACAAAAAGGTGTGGGAGGAAAATAAAAGAATTCTGATTTTTATTTGCATTTTAAAAACAGAATCCTTAATGATATTATGGGGTGGATACGAGTCAGTACAGATGCAAAAGAGGTTCCGGATTGTGTGCTGAGATCTCTGTTACACCCGGGTTTTCCCCTTAGCAGAAAGACGGCTTGGAATGTCTAGATACGGGCCTCTCTGCAACTGGTCAAGATCCATGTCTTTGTAAGCTGCCTCATGTTAATAAAAGCAACGGAAAACCAGGAGTCAGCAAGACACGGTGTCTTGTGGAATCGGTCCTGTGGCAATTTGTTCCTCAAGTTTATGTGGTTTCTGAGGCAGTGTTATTTTCTTACCTCCCGTCTCTTTTCTCTCTCTGCCTAGTTCCTCTGTAGTTGCTGGGAGAGCAATCGGTTAGGCGTTTTCCCTAACCTGAACATACACTTGCTGTACTTTACGATATATTACTTGTAAGTTATCTCCAATGAACAAGAAAGTGTTAGTATAGGACTTTCTCCACAGCCTAAAAAAACTGGCAGAAAACAAGTGAACTGGGCGAAAAAAGAGTAGAAACACGTAGAAAATATTAAAAAATCAAATGTTTCCACAACTCTAGAGAATTATGCTCTAATAATTATGCGGGGAACCGATAGTTAAACGTGATATGTCCGTAAACCAGCTGGATGTAAAGAATAATAATACTAGGCATGGTAGACGACAACAAAGACAGCCATTTTAATCAGTCGATAGGCTATAAACTCTTTCTACTTCACATCAAGTTGATATAAAATTCTCAAGAGTCATGCTTTAATTACTTTGCAAATTTCTTTTGAAGGCAACGAACGACAGCCGAGCATTAACATGAAAATATAAACTACTTTTCAACAAGTGTTTTCTGATTGGCGGAAACATCCACGTGACAAGGACGAATACCGATACGTTCAAAACGAGCTCGGTCAGATGTATATCTCGAATTCTATTAAGAAAACGTTGTTCTGATCGTATACTGGACATCATCTTCTATGCGCCGTTCCTCTTCAAAACGTTGGCGATGATGGCTCTCCTGTCCTTTTTAACTCTCCATAAATTTTATCTTTTTTTGTTCCGTCATCCATTTACAAAAGCTCTCTAGGTAGATTATGCATTGTTTACTACTGTTCCCTCTTGTCTTTAGTATGTCTTGTGAGTTCGTCCTGAGTATGACGATAAACTACATCCGGCAACAAGGCCTCTGATCGGGAGGTTTTGAGGAGCGTAGAACCACCTCTTAATTTCAGTTGTTCCTAGGTCCCAAACTATGGGCAAATAGTTAACTCCCACAAGTCACCATGAAAGAATCAGTGCCTTTTTATAGTAAAAATACCAGCAATACATTTTCATAATAAAATTTTCAAGCAGCAATAAGATTTTGTGAAAAATTTACCAACAATACATTAAAAAAAAAAAAAATCATTTTTTAAATGAAATTACAAATGCTACCAATTAAGAAAATTAAATTTCGGCATTAAATGACCCATAAAGAGTAGATATTTCAACTGTCGCTTTCTGACCTTAAATATAATCAGCCTTTTTGTTTTCATTTTCTCTAAAACGTCGTTGTTGCTCAGATGTTCGTTCTATGGCATTCTCAGCATCCTTCTGTAGAACCACATTTCTGTTGTTTCAAGCTTTTTCTTTGAGGAGATTGTCTAGCATTCCCTGCCGTATAAGGATGATTGATATTACGTAACAGTTCACTACTCTTTTCTTTGTTTCTAATGATATTTTCCTATTTCTTAATATTTTCCTTAACTTTTGGAAGGCATATTTCAGTAATGCAATCCGTCTTCCAATTTTCAGTGCCGCACTTTCCTCTCTCTATTAAAACATTTCCCAGATATTTCAATTTTGATACTTGCTTGATCTTCATATCTCAGATTTGTAATTTACATGTTGGGCTGTTCCTCTTCCTAACAGCCGTATAATCTGTCTTATTGCAAATGATATTTAAATTCAAGTTTCTGATGTTTAAGTGTCAAGTTTCAAGGCATCCGATATTGAATAATGAAGCACTCTTTTACTATTAACTCGAGACATCAAAACTAAGAAGCTACTTTTAATTTTAAAATAGTAATAATAATATTCTTTAAAATTGTACTTTGTGTAGATATACCTACTCTCTCTACCACCACCGATTGGTACAAGCATATATATAAATATATTTTTAGATTTAAGTTTTTGATTATCAGTTATGGAACTTTTGGGTTTTGAGCGAAGATTGAATAGTGAAACTCTCTTTCATTATTAACTCGAAAAAGTCAATGTAACAAATTACTTTGAATTTAATAATAATAATAACAACAACAACAACAACAACAATAATAATAATAATAATAATGATGTTTAGCACATTAGATAACCTAAAACTTATATGTATGGGTGTGTGTATGAAATTGGAGGCCACCCCAGAATTAGGATGGGATGAATTTGATCGAAGATTGAAAAATAAAATGAAAAAATGCTCTCAGAGTCGTTCAAAAAAGAATGGAATCAATTATCAAACTTATACTTTGAGAAACTTTTTCAAAGAATGTCAAAAAAATTGTTCTATAGTAATCAAGGCTAAAGGAGGATATTTTGACAAAAACAAAATTTAACCATAAAATGTTTTTTTTCTTTTTGCTATAATAAAATATCCAATTAAATATCATGTCTCATTTTTTAACGATGTATAATAATTTTCTCTTATTTAAAGTACAAAAGAAATAATTTTGGGACCAATTTAAAAATTACCATGGGATCCCTCAAACTTTTGAACTGTAGTGCATGTATGCTATATAATTTTTGTATTTCTTTGATTTTGTAAACGCCAAATTGTAATTTGCATGTTAGACTGAACAATCACACTGGGCATAGTTAGCCATATATATAGTTAGCCATATATATAGTTAGCCTATAATTCTCAGTTCTCATCAGAAAGGCCTTTGCTTAGGAGGTTTTGAGGAGCATGGAACCACCTCTTAATTGCTGGTGTTCCCAGGTCCATCGCAGGGTGGTAGCACCTGACAGGGTCCCAGCCGTGGGCAAATAGTTACCAACCCACAAAAAGAGGTCAAAACACTATGAAAGTATAAAAATAGGTTTTAACACTAGAAATACTTTTTTTGGACAAAAGTATTAGTAGCAATAAATTATTGCCAGTAGTACATTTTTGAAAAAGAAAAATATTACTAGCAATACGTTTTTGGAATAAAATATTACCAGCAATAAAAATCTTGTCGGCATTAAATAACCCATTGAGATTGATATGCAAAACAAACCAAACCAATCAGTTTTCATTATTAATTTTTGTTTGCAAAATCAGGGAAAATTGAATCCGCCAAACAGCTCAGTTCTAGATATGTGTATATATAATACAATTTGACAAATAATAGATACATATACACACGCACAGAGACACTATCTATCTATCTATCTATCTATCTATCTATCTATCTATCTATCTATCTATCTATCTATATATCTATCTATCTAAATATAAAAGTGAATATTGAAGTCAACACTTAGAGGCAACAGGCTGCTTCGTGCTAGACGCAATCGCCAGGCCGATCTTTCCACCATGTCCAATAATTGACTGATTGATCTCATTTCGAAAGAATGTGATGACAACACCATTCATCTAAATCTCCAGTATGCTATATTTATATATATATATATATATATATATATATATATATATATATATATATATATATATATATATATATATATATGTGTGTATAAAATAGGATATAGAATCCTGACAAATTATTGAAGAAATTGAAGTCATGAACTAAGAATTATAAAGAAACCATACGGAACAAATATTAACGGCTTTCTTCAAAAGTCACTATATTTTCTTTCATCACCAGAAACGCTAGCATTAAAGATTTATTATTTAAGCATACACAGACACATATTTTGCTCTTTCTTTTTTGGATACGATAAAGCCTAGAAAGGCGAAACTAGTTTCAATGAAACGGATTTACATTTGTTAAATTTCTTCAAATATCTATCTATCTTCATATATATATATATATATATATATATATATATATATATATATTTATTTATTAAAGACATTTTTATGTTTAACGTTCTTTTATAGATACAAGTATTTAAGTAAATGCTCTGTTTATAATAAACGGTATTAAATAACATTTACCGGCCTGAATGTCCGAGAAATTTTCATAGAAAATATTCGTCCTTTGACAGGATTCGAACCTGCATTCTATACGGAACCGTCATTTACGCTGACGTGCCTTAACCGACTCGGCACGTCAGCGTAAATGAAAATAGCACGACAAAGCAGATGTCATGAAACTATTTGTAGAAAAGACAGTTCACGTCTGTGAGAAAGTGACTGGAGTGAAGAATCCCAAGTCAGGACCGATCACATTGCATATCCGTCTTTGGATTTTGTCAAGAACCTCGAGATGAACAGCGGAGGCACCAGACCATATATGGCAACATAATTCCATGCATAGACGAATGGTAAATTTGTAGATGTGAAGTATGGGCTCATACGAGAAAAACCTTCTGGCGCGACACAGACAACCAACTTTC